CTCGCTTCCGAAACTACTGTACTTTGTCCACAGCTTTTTTTTTTTTTTTTTTTAATTTTTTAAATTGTATTTACTTTTTGGCTGCATTGGGTCTTTGTTGCCGCCCGCAGGCTTTCTATAGTTGTGGCGAGCGGGAGCTACTCTGGTGTGGTGTGTGGGCTTCTCTTGTTGTGGAACATGGGCTCTAGGAGCACGGGCTTCAGTAGTTGTGGCACACGGGCTCAGTAGTTGTGGCTCGTGGGCTCAGGAGTTGTGGCTCATGGGCTCTAGAGCGCAGGCTCAGGAGTTGTGGTGCACGGGCTTAGTCGCTTGTGACATGTGGCATCTTCCCAGACCAGGGATCGACCCCGTGTCTCCTGCACTGGCAGGCAGATTCTTAACCACTGCGCCACCAGGGAAGCCCCTGCCCATAGCTTTTGAGGGACGCGTCCTCCTGCTCTTCTTAGGAGCAAAAGTGACTCGGTGAGCGGCTGCAAGAACTGTGGAAAGAGAAGCATGCACCCTTGATGAGTCACTTGCCCTCTCTGGGCTCCAGTTTTCTCTTGGGTAAAAGAAAGGGACTACTTGCTGTGGTCTCCCCGAGGTACATTCTGTAAGACTGAGTCAAAGAGATGGAAAGTTGCTATTGAAGGCAGCGGGATAAAAGGGGCGTGTTTGCTAACCCATGTCCTAACAGTAGGAGTGGATGGGGTACAGGCACAGGAACCGCCACTATAGGGCAGCCAACACTCTAGGCAACTGGGTGACTCAGGTCCTGAATACAGGCCAATGGGCAGGAAAGCACCCCGTGGCTCTCCTGTGAATCAGGGGAAATGCAGATCTCCCTGGAGAATGACTGGCCAGGGTCCCGCTATAACCAACTCTCCCTTACACCTAGAAAGCTTCCGATCCCAGTGTGGGCCCCAGGTCTTTCGATGAGCACCCTAACCTCCCTGGTCTAGCTTCCACTCCTCCTGCCTGGCCTTGGCAACCCCTCTGCCCTCAACTCCGTAGCCCTCCCTACCCTCCCATGGCTCCCCTGCCCTGCCGTGTCCCCTCGTTTACCCCTTGGCTCTGCCCATCCTCACTATCCACCCCCATCCAGGCAGAGCCAGCGAAATGATTGCAAAAGGGCTGAGCCAGCGGGAGAGGCCCTCACATGACAGCTGTTCCTGCTGCGGAGGGGAGGGGGCAGCTGGAAGTAGAGGGAGGCACATTCCATGGGAGATCTGATCAGAAATAGCCCCAAACCCTTAACGACCATCCAGCTCCGGCTCAGCGCAAGCCCTGCCCATCCATCGTGTAAAACAAAGTAAGGTCAACAGGATTCCCTTTGGAAACCTGAGGAAATCAGCAAAACAAAAGGGGGCGGCTACACGAGGGGAGAGGGCTACAAGAATGAAAAAAATCCAGGAACATGTAGAGATCCAGGGTCACCAAGGACACCTTTGCCACTGAACCAGCCCCACCTGCCCAAGGCATTCTCTCTCTTACAAGAGATTCATATGAATACAGGGCTACTCCCCAGCAACCTCCATTACCCCCACTCCACCCACCCCTTGCATGCTAAGGCACTGGGACACCCCAGTCATTCCACTGGAGTAAAACAACAGCCTTCTCTGGGAGCCATGCCAGCCTGATTAGAGCAAACAGACAAGAGCAGGTGGCATAGTTTCTCTAACCTTCCTGGAGCACCAATATTTTAGCTCCATGGCATTAGGGGAAGAATAAATAAGGTGGGTGCCCCAGAATTACATTCAAACATACAGAGAGGGGACTTCCCTGCTGGTACAGTGGTTAAGAATCCGCCTGCCAATGCAGGGGACACGGGTTCCAGCCCTGGTCCGGGAAGATTCCACATGCCGCGGAGCAACGAAGCCCGTGCGCCACAACTCCTGAGCCCATGAGCCACAGCTACTGAAGCCCACGCACCTAGAGCCTGTGCTTCGCAACAAGAGAAGCCACCGCAATGAGAGGCACGCGCACCGCAACAAAGAGTAGCCCCCCTTGCCGCAACTAGAGTAAGCCTGCGCACAGCAGCGAAGACCCAACGCAGCCAAAAATAAAGAAAATAAATTTATTTTAAAAACCTAAAAACCAAAAAACATAGAGGACCAAAGCAAGTTGGGGAAGTTAGTGTCCTGCAGGTACCACTGATGGGGTGAGCCGGGGAAGCCACAGTCACCCAGGAACACCCATCTGATGTGTGGAGGGAAAGTTCGGGTTCTGAGGACATGCCATGAAAGGTTGCCATGAAAACCCCGGTATTAATTTCAGAAATGACTGGGTGGAGTCTTCAAAGCACTTCACTCCTCTCCCTTCAACATTCTAGACCCTTCCCCCGCCCTTCAAAAGGGGAAGTGGCACATTTGGGGCATGTGGGCAGCTGGTGGGATGGATGGGTCTGACCCAGTGTGAGCAGCAGAGATCCAGCTCCAACCAGGACATGAAGAAAAGACAACCTAGATCTTTCTTGGAAGAACTTTAAAGGCGTTTGACTTTTTAATAAGTGACTTAAGCAGAAACGCCAACAAAGCTAAAATAAACAGCCGCTTATAACCAGTTCATAACTGGTTTATCTACGAGCTAAACCAAGTCTCGGCCTCCCATTCACACTCCAGCCACTGTAAAGATTGTATCTGCAGTCAAACGCACGTCTGAGCCTCGGCCCCCCTCTCCAGTTTCTCACACTCCCTTTCTGGAGGCTCTGAGATTTTGCTCCGTAAGTGGGTGAAATAGCCTCCTCCTTCCCCCATCCTATCCCATTTCTCCAAGATCCTGCCCTGTCCTCAGCTCTCCACCCACTCGCAGCAGCCCCTTCCCTTTCCGCCCCGCGACCCCAGCCCCTGCCGGCCTGAGCAGCACCGTGGGCGCGGGGACGCCAGCTGCACGGTGAGCCTCCCCGGAACATCTGGAAAACGACCCCACCACGGGAGACGTCCCCACGGCGCAGGCTCACTGGCTGTGGCTAGCGAGCCGGGCGGGCCCGAGAGCGCCCCCACCCCGCACTGGGAGGAGCGGGGGGCGGGGCCCTAGCGAGCAGCGCGGAGGGCGGGTTGGGCGCCCCAGTCGGATCCTGGAGAGATCCCGAGTCCTCAGGCGGTGCGGTGGTGACTCAGGGCTCCCCGGGGCAGGGCGGGGACCGACCCAACTACAGCTGTACTCCCTTTCCCCGCCCCACATCTGCCCTAGAATCTCCTGATGTTAATCTCTTTCTTGCCCACCCCGGCAGGGTAGAGGCCCGCCCCCCACCCTTTGGAGGCCAAGAGCAAACCTTCCTGAGGCCACAACCCCCTCTCCTCTGGGCCTCCAACCCCACCTCCTGCTTATGGGTCCTGGCCCTCCCCCAAGCGCAGGCTTGGCCTCAACCAACCTGGCCACACTCCTCGGCACCAAACCGCCAGAGCTAGAGGCACAAGAAGCAGGACGTGTGGATGAGTCACTCTTCCTGCAATCTCAGAGGGAGGCTAGGAGGCGGTCCAGCCCCGCCCCCAGGCCAGAACCGCCCCCCCCCGAGGGAGGCTAGGAGGCAGTCCAGCCCCCACAGGCCAGAATCGCCCCCCCCATGCACGTGGGCTGCCAGGCCCGCCGCTGCCCAAGCCGCCCCCTTTTCCTCTCTCCTGCCTCCATCTTCAGGTCCTGGGAAGATTAAGGATACCAGGAAGGTCGTGAAAATTACACAAGCCAAGGAGCAGAGGGTGTGGAGGGAACTGGAACCCAGGAGGGGAGTCTGACCGGTTCTGTGAGGCCCAGGCAACCAGCTCAGGGCACACCCTGGCCAGCACCTAGCACTTCTAGCATCTATCCCAGAGGAGCCCAGAATGCTCAGAAGCAAGACAGGTGGCAAGTCTGGAACCAACTCACAACTACCAAGGTGCAAATTCTGAGCAAGAATCAACCCGTCCTCACCCAACTGGATTCCAAACCACCACTCTCCCCTGCCCATTTGTTCTGAGAACCCCAACTGCAGTTAAGGTACCAGCAAGATTACAGTCCTACTCCCTCAAAAGCTAGCAGCCCCCACCTGTACTGGGAAAGATCACCTTCTTCCCCTCCCAAACCAAGACCCCCTGCCCTTGCTTTGTGCTTGAACTTAAGGGATGGGAAAAAATAACCACTCAGAAAACCACAACCTGGAGACCAAAGCCTCAAAATGTGAATCAAACCAGGTTTCCAACTTCACCTGAGCTGTTAAATTTACAGAGAGATCCTTAATGCTCTTCAGAAGACATAGAAAAGACGATCAGAGTAGGGGCAAGTTATCTCTGAAAAGGGTATAACAAAAAATTAAGCTCAAAGGAGAAAAAATAGCAACCACTGGTCTGAGCAGGGTTGTTAAAAAGACATTTATGACTGCTCTACATTGCAGGAAGCGCTAGGGCGTGTTTAGGGTACAGGCTCCAGGGACACCCACTGGGTTCAAAATCATGTCTCCACCACCTAAGATGTGTGATCACAGGCAAGTTGCTTAAATCTCTGAACCCCACTTCCTCGTTAGAAAGTAGGGATACCCCAGAGATGATCCGCAGCCAGGTTAGGGGCCACAGGCCAGTATCTGTTCCAAGGAGTCTCTTCTCGCTGTTTGTCTGAAGTGTTGAAACTATGACTCTTGGGATACGGCTGCTGCCCCAGCTCACAGGGTGGTTGCGGGAAGCAGTGTTAAGTCGCTCTGCATGCTGTGCTCTCACCCCATCGGCAGGTATTCTCCCCCTTCACGCGGGAAGGTCTGGAGTTAGGTAGTTGCAAAAGCCCCGTGTCACCACCTCCTAACTACATCCAATCTCTCCCAGCTAGGCTAGAAGATGGTCATCACAGGAGAGGCAAGGCAAAGAAAAAAAAAAAAAAAAAAAAAAAAAAAAAAAAAAAAAAATCAAAACTGAGGAGAGGCCTCTCTTTCTGCTCTTCTGAAGACTTCTCTCCTACACAGGGAGGTCCTGCAGGTATAGACAACACCCTGCTTCAACATATCTACTCCCCTTTGAAGAAGCCATCACCCACAAAGGAGGCAGGGCAGGAGAGGGTTCAATGTTCAGTTTCCTTTAATGACCCCCATTCTCCCTGAAGGGCAGGTGCGGGCAGCTAGGCGGTGGCAGGAGATGTTCACTTGAAGATCTTGCCCTGATTGAAGGCTTTGCCCACATGCTGGAAGGCCCCATCCCAGGAAAAGTATTCTCGAACCAGCGTCTGGGTCTCCTCGCTGCTGGGATCCAGTTTCCGCCATGTGTATGACTCATAGTCCACCTGCCAATCTGGACTCAGCTGGGGAGGAAAAGCCAGGTAGAAGCATGTGGTCAGGCTATTGGCCGCTGCCCCACACCTGCTATTTCCAGCTCAGACACCCGTCATCAGACCCCAGGACTCCTGCGAACATGACAGCTCCTTCATGGACACATTCCTTAAACTCTCTGGAATGCCCACCGCTCAGGAATACGAGTGCACTTCCCAAATCCTAGACCCGCCCTAAAGAGACAAGACCCCTCCCCTGCACCTTCCTCACCGGAAAGGCAAGCTCCTGGCCTCGGAAGACCCAGACTCCAGAAATGGAGCTGCTATTGTTGGTTCCAAACAGAATGACACTGGCAAAGGCATTCTTCCTCAGTTTGTCCAGCCGCTGGAACATTCCTGAAGGGCAAGGAAGAACATTCAGCCTTTGAAATCATGTCACCCACTACCCTGTCTCCTCCCTTCCTCTTCCCAGAGCTACCCTCTGCTCACCAGTGATGAGGTTGCAGCTCATGAAGGTCTGGGTGAGCTCTTCAGGGAAGCGGTACTCGGAGTACCACAGGGACCAGCCATCTTTATCAAAGTGCTCCCAAAAGTACGGCAGCGCCACGGAGAGTGTGTCCTCGTTGGAGTACTTGCGCTTAAACTCATCCAACACAAAGGTACTGAATGAAGGAAAAAAAGCAAGGAGATCAAGGTGGAGAAGGTCCTACTGCGGCAACGCTGCCGTGCTAAGAGAAGCTACGGGCATTTCCACTCAAATGTACTGCTTTAAAGGTAGGATCACTGGATTGGCAGATGTGTATCACCTTCCAAGGGAGGAGAGCTGGGGGCACCCAGGGCATTCCCGTATCCCCCACCCCCAGCCTAAATATGCTTGGCACGTGGAGGGTGGGGCCCAGGATCTGCCCGAAGAAAGGCATGGCGAGCTGCTGCCCCCTGGTGGAGACTCACAGCGAGAGGACTCCTTGTTGTTGTTGTTTTTCCTGGCCGGCCCCTCCCCGGGCTCTTATCCAAGAGTCACGCTCAGTTCCTGACTCACCCAAGTCGCTGCCCCCACCCCTCCCCATCACACAGGACTCTTCAGGTTACACACACTATAATATGACGGCAATGTAAGTGAATGTTTGCAAAGGGCCTCCACCCCAAATCCTACACCCGTGTCCTTTAGTTACTCTGCTCAGAAACAAGTTCAGGTGAACTTTGAAGCAATCTGGCACACCGAGCCAAGGATGCCAGCTTCAGAATAGGAGAGGTGCCTCCCCCCATGGTAGGGCTTCTGTTTTTTTTTTTTTCTTTCCTTCCAATTATAAAAACACATACTGACTGAAGAAAATCACTCACTATGCCAGCAAACAAGAGAACTAATATTTTAATGTATTTCCCACTAGCAATTTTCCAAAGATGATGCATGTAATTCTGTGCCTTACACAATTTGCTCACTTAATACTGCCCGGCTATCAAGAATGTCTTGCAGATGTTTTAATGGCTAAATAATCTTCTGCATGAATGTGCCATAAATCTATTAAACCCCCTTATACTGAATGTTTAATTGGTTCAATTATTCATTAGTATATAACTAATGTCAACAAACCCTAGAGTCAGAGAATGTTACCATCCCTCCTTTTACCAATAAGGTTAAGTGGTGTGACTTGCTCACTGCTGCAATGTAGCAAAGCAGAGAATCTGTCCTTTAACCCGAGGTCCCAGGTTCCTTCCCAAATGCACATCAGAGACCATATCTGAGGTGCTTTACTTCCTCAACCACCCAAAAAGTAGGGCTGGGGGAGACTTCTCTGATGGTCCAGTGGTTAAGACCTCACCTTCCAATGAAGGGGGTGTGGGTTCGATCCCTGGTTGGGGAGCTAAGATCCCACATACCTCAGGGCCAAAAAACCAAAACATAAAACAGCAATATTGTAACAAATTCAGTAAAAAAAAAAAAAAAAAAAGTAGGGCCAGGGAGTTTTTCTTCACTCTCTCCTGAGCTGTTTGAACTTTATTATTTATGACCATGTGTCCATTTTTCTCCCCAAACTGACCACAGTTGGAAGACTGGGATTGATATATGTATAAAATGGATAACTTATAAGAACCTGCTGTATAAAAAAATAAATAAAATTAAAAAAAAAAATGACCACAGGGTTAGGGTAGCTGGAAGGTATTAAAAGGACTAAAATTAACTCTGGACAAATGAGTCTTGCCTTTGAAGACACCACCTTCGAGTCATTAAGAATCCTGGGGAAAATCATCTTGGCAGCCCAGGAGTACACCATGGTAATGTAACAAATAAGTACTAATAAGCACTCCCAAATGATACAAAAAAAAAAAAAAAGTGCTGGGGCTTCCCTGGTGGCGCAGTGGTTAAAAATCCACCTGTCGGTGAACTTCTGTAGTGTTGGAAATGTTTTAAAATTTCATTTTTGTGGTTACACAGATCTATAAATTTAGTTAAAGGCATTGACCTATATACTTATAATGTCTGAATTTTATTTTATTTTATTTTTTTTCCTTTGCGGTACACGGGCCTCTCACTGTTGTGGCCTCTCCCGTTGCGGAGCACAGGCTCCGGACGCGCAGGCTCAGCGGCCATGGCTCACGGGCCCAGCCGCTCCGCGGCATGCGGGATCTTCCCGGGCCGGGGCACGAACCTGTGTCCCCCGCATCGGCAGGCGGACTCTCAACCACTGCGCCACCAGGGAAGCCTTAACGACTGAATTTTATATGGAAAATTATACTTCATAATGGAAATTATACTTCAATAAAACTGTTTAAAAAAAAAAAAAAGAATCCACGTGCCAACGCAGGGGTCACAGGTTCAAGCCCTGGTCCGGGAAGATACCACATGCCGCGGAGCAACTAAGCCAGTGAGTCACAACTACTGAGCCCGCGTGCCACAACTACTGAAGCCCACGCGCCTAGAGCCTGCGCTCCGCAACAAGAGAAGCCACCGCGATGAGAAGCCCGCGCACCGCAACGAAGAGTAGCCCCCGCTCGCTGCAACTAGAAAAAGCCCGTGAGCAGCAACAAAGACCCAACACAGCCAAAAAATTTTAAAAATTATTTTTTTAAAAAATGCTAAGTTTATTAAAGATTTTAAGTTTACTGCCTGATTTATTTTCTGCCCAGTGTACAGACCCAATATACGTGAATATCTCTAGCTATTAGCAGTACCTATGTTACAAGGGTGTACATAATTTGGGTTGGTTATCATAGCTTACTTACAGATACCAAAAATCCTGCTCACTCTTGACCTGCCCCAGTGCTAGATTCAAGGTAATCACTTTGGTTCGGAAAGGAATATATCCTTAAAAAGTAGCTGCGTTAGGAGCCTTCTTGTATGAAGTGCCTGGGAGTAAGAGCTCTCAGCTACACCCCAAGTTGCTCCCCAAATGGGGAAGATGGCAACCATCCAGTACTAGGTCGCTTACAACTCCACATACTTCTCATGCCTACCACCAGTGCGTGCTCCTTCATCCCATATGCAAACCACTACAAAATGGGGAGGTCAAACACTGTTGCACCCCAACAAACCAACTAGGGAAAGGATAGATGGCTTGAGGAAAGGCAGAATGGGCAAGAAAAACAGAAAAGCCAACTCAGTGACGTGACCATGGAAAGGGCGTTTCTCACGTTGCTTGAAACTCTAATAAGGTGACCCGGAGCAGTGACCAAAGAAAGACTTGATGGTAAGCAACTGGGCAAGTACTGGCTGGCCCACTTTTTTCACACTAAAAATCCCCCCTTTACTGTATTCTTTCTTCCAGGAACACCTATGGTGACTGAGAAGAGGACACAGACGACCACCCCATATACTTCCTTCTCCTTGCGGGGTTTAACTCCCCGACGCTGGGAAACAATAAACCAGACAGGCACTACGTAGCCATGGTCATCATCCTTTCTCTTAAAGTGAGCAATTTTTATATAGGCTGATGCATCAAAACAGCAAGAAGACAATCAAAGGACACTGACATGGTGTCGGCTGCCTCAGCAAAGTCAGCAAAGCAGAGCAGATGGAGGCTCTCTGCATTTTCTTCCTTCCTGCGCCCCTTAGTGTATTAGTTCCGAGCGTTCTCAATCTCAAATCCTAACGTGCGCACGCAAGACCAATCAATTCACCTCCACACCGGATTCGGAGCCCTGGGCCCATGTGCTTTCTTTGCTAGAAAGGGAGTTCTGATATCCTCAAATACCAGATGCATTAGGAACTTGTTTGCTACTTTCAAAAGTCACCCAACTCTTGACGGTAAAGTCAGGAAGCTGCTTTATTTGCAACTAAAATACATCTTTCAATTTTGTATGGACAACCTAAAATCCTAGGCCCTAGCAGTATGCGGGGGAAGCACAGAGGTGAGCACAGGCCCTCCTGGGCCCCATGCCCCCTACCCTCCACCACCCGTACCTCTTGGCCAGGTGAGCAAAGGGATCCTTGGCCTTCGGCTCAGCAGCCAGCGCCTGCTCACATTCATCCAGCTCCTCCTCGGGAGCAGGGGCAGCTGCCTTCTTCTCCTCTTTCCGCTCGGCCTGGGGCTTCTGCTTCTCTTCCCGAGAAGCTTTCTCTTTCCGTGGGGTGTCCTTTTTAGGCTGGCTCTCTGCAAACTTTTTAGCTGGTGCAAAGGGAAGGACAAAAGTCAATGTCTGGTCTCTTTCCACAACCCTCCCAAGCCAGGCAAAGTAATGGAGGAAAACTGCTGGGTGGGACAGCTAAGGGATCTAGACGCTACACTGCCCGCCACCTCACAGTACATCCTTGGGCAAGAATGCAACCCTCAGCAACAGATACATGTGTATCGTGATTCTACGCATTAACACAGATGAGCGGGAGCGTGCGTGTGTAGAAGACAAGTACCACAAAATCCTAGCTGCTATGAGCGACACCCTACCTTCTGTGGGTCCACATAACCCAGAAGCTAGACAGGACACCAAGGGGTTAAGACTGAGCAAACCAGTCCCCTGACCCTGCCGGCATGCTCCCCTACCTCCTCAGACTTACCATCAAATTGGGCCATTTTCTCACAGAGTTTCACCTCCCCCAAGACCGCCCGGAACTGGGGCTGGTTAATGCAGGTGAGGAACCAGCGGTTTGTATTGGGGAAGGCCTGGCGGAAAGAAGGCTCCAGAACCTGCCAGGATGCAAGAGTGGACATAAACTCAGCGGAGGGAAAAATCCTGACGAGTTTCCAGTCACAGCCCCTTGTTTCTTTCTACACCAAAGCTCCGGCTTCCTTTCAGCCCCCAGAACACCAGCTTTCCCTGGAGGGCTACTGCCCACGTACCTTACTAATCTCTCTCCTGCAGTCCAATCCAATTTAATGGATGCTTGGTCCCACCCTCTATTCACTATGAATCTACCTGGTAGGAATATTTATTTGTGCCTTACTCCTTTTACAAAGCCATTTCATACCTATAATTTCACGTGTCGATAAAACTTAAAAGGCTGGGGACCAACAGAGAACTACGAACTACTCACTTTGCCAAGCAAATAATGAAAACTATCTATATGAACTATGTGATATGTGAGAGAGATATACATGCATCATCAAACTTCAGAAAGTAAATATTCAACAGCAAAAAAGTTTATTTCAGAATAACAGAGTGCTTAAACTTAGCTTCATGAAAAATTCATCTACCGTTTTTTCGGTTTGCCAAGATCAGAGGGAAAATAATCCTGTCAAGGATACATCGCAGTCAGTTCTGTAGTGCTGGTTCTGCAGTACTTGGGTTCAAATCCTACTCCACAACTTCCGGGCTACATTTCTTTCACCCACACAACAAGCAAAGACTCACTAAGGTTGTCCTTGTTATGCCCTGGCACATGCTCTGACACGAAGTAGGTGCTTTTTTCTTTGCTGTTATCACATTACTATTCTGGTCCAGCATTAGTCCAAGAGCTGCTGTTTAGGAACCAGCAATATGCCATCTTCAACCCAATAACCTCAACAGTGATTATTCCTACTTTGGTTTTATAGCTTCCACAGGGGGAAAAAAGAGGACTAAATGAATCCACACACCCTCCCCCAACAACCAGTAAGTACTGAAGCCAAGAACTGATCCTAGTTTTGCCTCCAAAGATCTTGATGCTGAAGCTATCACCTCTACCTCTGTCTTCACAACTAAGCACAACCGGGCAACCTGAGAAACATGGGAACAAACTAAACATATTAGCTGCCAAACAGAAATTAAGGGCAACACAACAGGATCAAACTTCTCAGAAGGAGGGAAAGCAGTCGTGGTGTAAGAAGATAGGGTAGAGGGTCTGTGGAAAAAGAGAACCAGGCACTTTCTTGACATAAGAGAAGCCAGTTTTGGCCTAAGCCATTTTGTGATCTGAACCTAGCTGTAATACTTGTCCTTGAACAGGTCTTTGTAATTAATGATCTTAAGGGAACAAAAGAATGCAGAAACTGGGAATTCCCTGGTGGTCAGGTGGTTAGGACTCCGCGCTTCCACTGCAGGGGGCACGGGTTTGATCCCTAGTCGGGGAACTAAGATCCTGCATGCTGCATGATGTAGCAAAAAAAACAACAACAGGGCTTCCCTGGTGGCGCAGTGGTTGACAGTCCGCCTGCCGATGCAGGGGACACGGGTTCATGCCCCGGTCCGGGAAGATCCCACATGCCGCGGAGCGGCACCCAGTTTTCCGTTAACAGTGGTACTTGATCCTGGAATTCCTAAAGACTAGCTGTTGCCTCAGACTCCCTCACATCAGCAGGATACAGATAACCTGGCAGGCCTGTCACTCTGTTTCTAATCCCCACCTCCCCTCTGTCAACCCAGATTCTTTATCAACTTCACCTGTTTATAAAGCCACAACAGGGTGCAGACAACTGTGATGTCAGCCAGCGTCACACGTTCGCCCACCAGAAAAGTCCTTGTCTTCAAGTGAGCATCCAGCAGCCCCAGAATTCGCCTCACCTCCTCCTTTGCATTCTCTGTGGCCTATTGATTTAAAATGATCAGACTTGGCAGTGGGTACCAACCCTTGTCCCTGCCCTTCTCCCCCAATAAGAGAACTAAGGTAGCTATTCCACTGAGTCCTGGCTCCTTCCAAATGTATCACAAATGAAGCTACCAATGTTAAATTTCTTCATGGCGCAGTCTGGCTTCATTTCCCACTGTATTGATCGTAGGCATATATCTTTGAATTTTAGAAGGAACCTTAGAGGTCATCTGGTCTAAGCACTCCCTTACCATTTGGTACAACCTTTCTAGAGCAGAGGCCTCCCATCTGGCCACTCAGACCTCCCACCTCCACTGGGTCTGTCTGACAAAGAATCCACATACCATCAACAGCCCAGCGCTCCAAACTGAAAGCTCAAAGATTATTTATTACCCACATATTCTTGGCATCACCCTTCCTCAATCTTTTTTATTCCTTGCTCGCTGATACTGAGGAGCTGACGCCACCCCTGCTCTTGGTTTCTCCCCAAGTTCCAAGGCTCACCTGCTTGCTGTGGTGCATGATGCCCAAGGTGGGGAACACCCAGGTACTGGCTGGGGGAACTATGTCGCTATCAGCAAAGCTCACCCACTGCACCACCTGGGCTGCTGCTTCGGGAGTACTTCCCCGCAGCTCCTCGTTGCTCACTGCAGAGGCGGAACATAAAGGTCAGAACTTTGGGGCTGTGTCAAAGCCAGTGCAGGTCCCTGAAAATTCCTCTCCTTGCCCGCTCCAGCTCCCCTCACCCTCTCCTGCACCCCATCACCTCCAGACCTTCCCATTCCCCAGCCACTGCAGATTACCATAGTAAGCAATGGCATTGCTCTCGAACACACAGAATCCGTCGTCACCCTCAAAGGCTGGAACCTGGGGACAAAGCAGTCATAAGTAAATACACAGCAGTTTCTCACTAGTCAAGCCCAGGGACTCAATCGTTTTGAATAAAGTTTTTTTATATAAGGCTGAGAACCCTCGCTGACCGAACTCTTGACACTATCTGAAACTCAAGAACCAAAACTGTATGAGTAACTTACCATCCCCTACAATCTGAACTCACATAAGAGACCCCCAAAATTTAGATATTTGTATATAATCTCAGTCAAATAAGCAAAAGGCAAGAAACCCGAGTCTGATATTTCTGTCTATATTATCCCAAGTATTACAGTACTCCCCCACTGCACTTGATCTCTTCGACATGTAGCATGGTTATTTATCTATCTCTGTAAGCCTCTTAGGGCAAGAATTCTACTCATAGCAAACATTTGATCTATTTGCACTGAAATCAGTCAAAACTGATCCTCTCTCCCACAAATAAAAAGAAGCCTGTGAATTTCATAGGAAATGACTGAATAGCTCTGTACTATTTTTAACAACAAATAAATCACAACTGTTTCAAAATAAAAGTGTTTTTAAGTCTCCGAAACGTGAAAAAAAAAAAAGTAACATGGAAAGCTCCCTTTTAAAGATGGAGGTCACCTTCAGAGTGATGGAATCTCAGTTCTCCTTGGGTTCTCAGGACCAAAGGCCCCTCTCCACTTCCCTACTCACCTTGCCAGCAGGAAATTTACGGAGAAATTCGGGGGTACGGTTGGTTTGGCCAAAATGGAACTGGGGTGGTGCGGATAGCACGCGGACCTGAGCCCCGCTGTACTGAGCGGCAATGAGGGCCTTGAAGGCCCTCCAGTTTTCAGGATATGTGTACAGGGTCTGTGGGGAAAAGGCGGGGAATAAGCCATTAATGACTAGAAGGGTCCCAGTCCTAAGTGTTACCCGGGAACAGCTTCCCCGAGTAATCCCAATCTGTTTCGACTGACTCTTTTACTCCCTTTGCTGAACCAAGTTAGTTCTTCAGTATCTGCAGTCTTGTGTAATCAGAGTCCTCCAAAATACGAGGACAGAACTACACACCAACTGCTAAATAAAGCTTGTTGACAGATGTGACCTTCCGTAAGGACGTCTCTGGAAGCGTTCTCTTCCCCTCAAATACATCTCTAAGAAATGCACAACTTCTAGCTCCCTCAGATTCCATCTGCCGACAAATACACACCCCTCCCTTCCCAGAGCCCTTGTTCATTCATTGATGGTCACTGAGCGCCTGCTTACTCTACTGAGCCGCTCACCCTTCAAAAGCATCACCCTTGTTTCCAAGACACACACACCAACCAAGACATTTCCAAGTCCCCATCCGAACAGCCACGAAGAGACCGAATGGCATCTTCTCTTCCTAAGCCAACTCGGTCTCCCTAAAAAATCTTTCATTCCTTGTCACGCGTACCATCCCTCCGGTCCTGTCCCGCAGTGAGTTCCCAGGGGTTTCCTTCTCTCCTTCTATTAACGTGGCCAGTGGGGTCCAACTGGTCTGACTCCAGCGTCCGGAGGCTCCTCTCGCTGCCAAACCTCCCCGCAGGACGACCCTTAACCGTGGCCCGCCATACGTGCCCACAAAGACCCTCCTCTTCCTCTGTCCCTCCTGTTGCCCCACAAAACGGTCGCAAAAGTTCTGTCAACCTGCCCGGATCCCACGTCTCGAGAAGGCAACGAACCGAACTCCGTTCTCAGGTCCCAGACTGCCAAGATCTGGCATCCCTTTTCTCTTCTACCCCAGACCCTTCCACCTCTTTGGCCTCCCAGAGCGCCAGCCTCAGTTCCCCTCCGGGGCCTGGAAGCCCTACTCTCCAACAGTACGATCTCTAGACCCCGGATCAGTTCCCCACTCGGCTCCAGAAACCCTCTGACGCCGGCTGGACCCACTCCGGCAGAGGATGGCGTCGGATAGGGTGACCTGGATTGCCAGAGCCGGCAAACTTACCCCAGCCGCCATGGTGATTCCGCAGAGAAAGGGGGTGGGGCCCTCCGCGCTGCCGCAAAGTAAGCCTTCAGGAAGAGAACGGTGGGGGTGGGGGGGAGGGGAGAGCCGTGGAGAAACAGCAGCCGGAAAGCGAGGACGGCATAGAAGGCTTACGCACGACAGTTCGGTATCCCGCGGCAGCTGAAAGGAAACAGGAAGTGGGGCCTGGGGCCTGCGCGGAAAAAGCTCGCTCCTGCGCGGTGAGGGAGGGCCAATCCGAGTCCCGACATGGAGGTAGAAGGCGCGGAGGGTGGGGAGACTGTGAGAGCTAGCTGGAAAGCCGCCCCTCTGCAGCTACGTGGCAGAGCTGCCAGCCCGGCATCGCGCCGGGCCCCAGAGGCGTTTCCCTCCGCCGGTGATTTGATGGAGGTCCTGCCAGACCCCCGAACATCGTGGTTGTGTGACACTCTTAGGAGCGGAAGCAACTGCGTGGAGGTCGCGGGGTGCCACGTTCCTTTTGTCCCGGCTCTTTCTCGAGGAGAGCTTGTACATCTAACCCGAGCCCAAGTCCGGAGCCCTCTGTAAAAGTGAGGTTTTTTGCCATTAAACGACCTTGCAGCTCAAGGATGCTGTTACTGCTTAGAAGAGGAGCTAGTCCTCGGGCCTGCAACAAGGGAGGGGCTGAGGGAGAACCCAGCCACGTCCTGTCACCCCGGAAGGGCTGACAGTTCAATGGATGGGTCGCCCTTTCCCCACGCTCAGGTCTGAACCCAATTTAAGAACAGGAGGAATTCTATTAAGTGAGAGAATGAAGAACCCTGAATCCAAATTTCACGCCCTGTCACCATTCACAACTCTGGGCAGTAAGGTAAATGTCGAAGCAAACTTGGTACTTCTGAGGTGCTGCTGAAGCCACCCACCCAGCACTCCATCTTTCCAGAACTCTACTGAGTGGGTCCAGGTGCCAGACACACATTCCTCCTGGGATCTGAAGGAAACATACTGAGAGACCTATTTTAGGGTGGCGAGAGTGGGTACCTGTGAGAGGCTGTATTAAGCACTGGGGAGAAAGAGGATTATTACCAGGTGGAAATTAGCGGAAACTAGCGTTTATTAAACTAGCAGCTTTATTGCCCTTTAGGGTCCCCATCTTCACTTGAGCAGGTTTCGAAGTGCGTGAGGGAGGAAAACCTGTAAGAAATGATGGAGATCAGGGAACAGGCCTTGAGAATCCCGGAGTGGGGTCACAGTGAGAGTCTGGTCAGCCTGGGAGACAGACACCACGAAGGTCAGGAGTGGCTCAGCCCCTGGCGTCTGTTCAGTACCGCTCAGGCCTCGCAGCTGCTGGGTGACCCGAGCCTCAGTTGCCAGCCACTCTGCTCCTGTGCCAGCACCAGCTCCTCCTCCTTCCTTGATTTGCTGCTGCAAGCGTCTTCGGGCACGCCGCCGCCCCTGCCACACTCGGTGGCACAAGGCACAGCGCCAGCCCACTGAGGAGAGCAACGCCCCCTTCCCTGCCTCGGCCTGAGACCCTTCTCGGGCTGCCTCAGGTCCTCTGGGCCCCTGCTCAGCCAGCGCTGCGGGGCCTGACCGCCCCTCTTCTCCAGTGCCTAGATGCTTTCCGGTCATCGGGGCCAGCTCCCCTGGCTGCCCAGGGCTCCTCATGGCCCAGTCTTGCACTGACTCTCCAGCCTCTATCGCCATTTCTTCCACCCTGTCTTCACCATGGGCCCCTGCATGTCCCTGCTGTTCCTCCTGCCCCCCGTCACAGCTTTTTTTCTGTCCGTCTAGTTTCAATCTTTTGCTTGTCCCTCCCTGGGGAGGCTCCCCAGTTCCACCTCCCTCTGACCGCAGTCTCTTGGTTCCCTGTTCTATATGGCACCCCAAAGCCTCCTGTAACACCTGGGCCAGGGCAGCAGTGAGCTGGGTGAAGGGAGCCGGGGGTAAGGGGATGGGTGTTGCAGACAGCAGGGAGCTAGGGGAGCTGGGCTGCAGAAGGGGAAGCAGCCCCCAGTCCCGACCCCGGGAGGAACGGCACTGGTACTGGAGGCTTCGGCAGTAACTGGCTGCCGCTTGGCAGCAGTTCTGTAGCCGCCCGACCACCCGGCTGGTCACATTGGCTGCCACATTGTGACTCAGGTCAAAGGGGTCCTGGAGATTCATGGGACCGAGGCGCAGACCCTCCCAGAGATTAGAGGGCAGGCCCCCTGCCACAGGCAGTGCCTGACCCTCCCGCAGGGACAGCAGTGAGCCACGAAGATCCCAACAAGAGACGCAGGAGAAGAACTGAGCCAGCAGGGAACCTGGAGGAACAGAAAGACCAGGGAAAAGGGGTCACTTGGAGGCCAGAAGTGAGATCAGCCCTGTGCCAGAGCCATTCTCTTAGCTGGACTTTCTTTTTCCCTCCCAAGTGGCTCAGAAGAGTGCCAAAGCCAGGCTCCTCTGATCCCTATAAACAAGAGGTCAAACCTCTCTCCCGTGGTGCCCCCAGATACTGCCCCTTCCCCTTGCCAGCAGCATGACCTTGGGCAAGCCACTTAATTACTCCAAGGCACGGTTTCTTCATCTGTTTAGTAGCAATAACAATATTAGCTATCCCACAAGGTTGCTGTGTGCCAGTAACTGTGTCATTAGCACCATTTATTAGTCCTCTCCCAGGCTCCCCAGACTCACTCGGGGGCTCCTTATTGGTGCTGGGCTCCAGTCTCGAGGCATCCCTGGGAAAACTACAGTCCCAGCCATCAACCTCCACCTGTTCGCCCTCACCTATGAAAGTAAAAAAGGTGAGGGTGAGCCTGGAAGCAGGAAGATTAAGGGGGGGTGGGGGAGGGTGGATATGGGAGTGACAGCAGAGACCTCATTCCCAGGGAAGCTCAATATGTTTAAGTGAGATGAAGAAGAGAGACGAAGCTCACGAGACAGAGCGGGTGGAGGCCGGGCTACTGTACCTGCTTTCTGGGTGAGCTGGGACACAGTGGGCAACACCGGAGGGTCCCTGGTCTGAAGGAAATAGATCACGAGCAAGGTCAGGGCGTAGTTACTGAGAAGTGGGCCACTCCCTGGGCAAATAATCAATTAAGTCCGGTTAGATTAGAGGCGATTCTGATCCCCTCCTTGGCAGTTTTCGCAACCCCGGTTCCTGTACCTGCCACCTTCCTTCTCTCCCTGAGTCCCTGCCTTTGCCCCGACATGAACACTGCCCCAAGTCTGTCCTGATTCATTCTCACCTGACAGCCCTCGACCCTGAGCCCAGCAGCGCAGAGTGTACACAAGGGGCCGTACTCGCCCATCCAGCTCAGAGCAGAGGCTCAGGAAGCGGGAGTTATGCAGGGCCAGCCTGGGACAGAGGAGGGGACAAGGGTGTTAGGGCTCAAGAACCTATCACCCCCAGCTCTTATTCCAGGCTTGTGTAATGGGGGCCAGCTGGAAGAAGGCCAACAGAGGGTCTCCCGAGGAGTCTTCTGACATGGTCTGGAGAGAGTATGTACAAAAGAACATCAAATGTGACTGGGAAACACTACATCCTATCAATGTCTTAGACAGTTACAGAGCATGTTATGGTAAGACTGATCAGAGCCTTTACTATGCAAAGAAGGACAGGAAGGGAGGGAGAAGGAGGAAAGAGGAAGTGGGGGAGAGGGAGGGAAGGGAGAAACCTGCCTGTGTTTAGCTCAGCCTTTCCCAATGCTGAAACTCATTCAACCATGGAACTCCTTCCTAAATCCTTAAAAACAGTCTCCCAAGAAACACACTTTCCAAACACTGAAATGAAAGCCAGACATGAGATGAGCATCAGAAAGAGAGACAGGACCAAATAAGGACAACCTCAAGGCTCAGCTGGTGCAGGGCACCCTCCTCAAACTCCCCAGAGTGCCCATCTGGCCTTCCCCGTCGCCCCCCAAACAAAGGTACCGGTTACTGAGGGAGACGTCACCGTGGAGACCTGAAGGCCGATGGCAGAACTTGACCACAGGCCGTCGGGCAGATGGCACAGTTTGGACTCGGTACACTCCAGGGACACAGCCCCGAAGAATGGATCCCACCAGCTCCAGCATGGCTCCCCCTTCTGCTTTCTCCCCCTTCAGGGCCTCTGCCAGTTCCATGGCCTTCCCCAGGTCCCCCTCTCCCCGGTCCTCCTGCAGTGGCGAGGATGGAGGCAGGGACTGGGGAGAGGCAAGGGTCTCAGAGGCCAAAGCAGAGTCTGGAGTCCGGGGTGCCAGGGAGGAGGAAGGGACTTCACAGTCCAGGGCTTCCGAGTCTTGGGGAGAAGCTGGAGGCTGTGAGTCTGGAGGCGAGGCTGGGATGCAGGCCAGGGCTTGAGGATCCAGTGGGGATGCAAGGGCCGAGTCCAGGGATGGAGATTCTGCAGCCTTTGTGGCTGGCTGTGGATGGAAACGAGCTGAGTAACTGCCTCACCTGTGGTCCCCTAACCAGGGAACATTCCATCCCTAAGATATATCTATTACTGCTTATTATGTGCCAGGCTCTATTCTAAAGGCTTTATAAATATCAACTCATTTAACCTTCACAAGCTTTTTTTTTTTTGCAGTACGCGGGCCTCTCGTTTTTGTGGCCTCTTCCGTGTGGAGCACAGGCTCCGGACCCGCGGGCTCAGCGGCCATGGCCCACAGGCCCAGCTGCTCCGCAGCATGTGGGATCTTCCCGGACCGGGGCACGAACCCGTGTCCCCTGCATCGGCAGGCGGACTCTCAACCACTGCGCCACCAGGGGAGCCCTCACAAGCCTTTTTTAAAATTAACCTTTTAATGCCATAAAATAAACGGTCAGTATTTTACAAAAACGTTATTGTCATGAAAAACAAAAAAAGGCAGAGGAACCGTTCCAGATTAAATAAGACTAAAGAGGGAATTCCCTGGTGGTCCAGTGGTTAGGAATCCAGTGCGCTTCCACTGCAGGGGGCACGGGTTCGATCCCTGGTGGGGGAACTAAGATCCGTAAGCTGTGAGGTGCAGCAAAAAAAAAAACCTTTTGTGGGCGAGAGGTAAATGGGAACTCTGGACTTTCTGCTCAATTTTGTTATGAACCTAAAACAGCTCTAAAAAATAGTCTATTTAAAAAATAATGACCCTTTCCTATTCCCAAGGCAGGATCTGTACATTAGATGTTAGAAAACACGGATAAGCAAAAACATAACCCATTATCTCCCCAAATAAGATTATTATACATGCTATTTTGAAATCTGTTTTTTTCCGTTACAAATGCCATTTATCCCATGTTGATTCATTTTATCCTATCCAATATCCATACATATTCACATTTCTCCAATTATAATAACCCATTCAGGCAGGTCCTATTACCCCCATTTTATAGATGAGGAATTAAGGCACGAGAGGTCAAGTGTTTGCCCAGACATGACCATTTCCACTGACTCTTCACAGCTGCCTCCATGGTCACATACCTGGGGCTCGTCCAAGTCCCCCAGATCCAGGAAGAGGTCAAGATCACAGCTATGGACGTCAAAGCTGTTTATGGAAGAGCCAAAAGGATGGACCACACAGCCTGGGTGCCAAGCAGAGAATAAAGGTCAAGAGACACTGCAGGGAGTAAGTGGTAGAAGAACAAAATGGGCCACAAAGATGGAAAAGCAGGCAAATGAACACCACTAGCTGAGGGAAGACTGGGGATGCAAACACAGGGGAGGAAGGACAGGGAGGTCTCAGACACTGTGAGGGAGGTGACCCACCAGGGAAGAACTCTGTGAAGACCTCCTGCACCAGGGCCACCACGAGGCTCCGAAGCTGCCGCTCAGCCTCAGACAGCTCCCTCAGCCCCACGAGCTTCACCATTTGTGCCTCCACGTCCGGGGCCTCCGCTAGTGCTTTTGCCAGCTGGTGACTGTCGGGAGCCACTCCTTTGGGGGACTTGGAGGCTGGGCTCTGGAACTCTTTCTGCTCCCGTGGCCGGATCCTCAGGCGATGTCCTCCCAAGCTGTGCTGGGGCTGTGAGAGGACAGCTTCCCGGGCACCCACGTCCCCCATCTCCACAATGGCAAACACTCCCTGTCAAACCACAACAGGGACAACGATGATGGTTTTAGAACCTAGAATCCAAACACATGTTCTGACAGTGGGTGAGAATCTTTAAAATGGGGACCACCATATAAATTGGGAAATTTGTTTACTGTTTCCATAACATCAGAGAACATATTTATTTATTTATTTAGGCCACGCCTCGAGGCTTATGGGATCTTAGTTCCCCTACCAGGGATTGAACCCACGCCCTCGGCAGCGAAAGCTGGAGTCCTAATCACTGGACCGCCAGGGAATTCCCACCAGGGAACATATTTAGAAAAGCAATTATCTCCTTCACTCAAATCTCATACATTTTATTCTCACCCAAGCCTGCCTCTGAAAAACCTCATTTTACCTATTTTATAAAACCCCAGTCTTCCCAATGACATTTCACTGGTAATACTATGACTCACCCCCTAACTTTTCCTGCTTTAATTAGACTCTTTTAATATTAAGAATCCATGGAGGGTCTTCCCTGGTGGCGCAGTGGTTGGGATCCACCTGCCGATGTGGGGGACGCAGGTTCATGCCCCGGTCCGGGAGGATCCCACATGCCGCGGAGCCGCTGGGCCCGTGAGCCATGGCTGCTGAGCCTGCACGTCCGGAGCCTGTGCTCCGCAGCGGGAGGGGCTGCAGCGGTGAGAGGCCCGCGTACCGCAAAAAAAAAAAAAAGAATCCATGTAATGATCACTGTGTTAGGCATAAATATAAACATATAAACCCTATCTTGGACAAACTTACCAGCAATATGACAGCAGTGCTGCTATGATTTGGTTGAGTTTAATGATGTTCATTGGGTCATTTTTTTTTAAGGTAAACGTTAACAGGAGCAGAAAAAATATAACTGCTCTGGCAAAAGGCCATATTTTTTAATATTCTCTTCAGTGGTAAAGCTAGAACCTCATCCTGCTTATACAAAGGTACTCTACAGTAATCAAGACAGTGTGGTACTAGTGACAAAACTTTAGCTAGACTCACTAAGAAAAAAAAGAGAAGCCTCTGATAAATAAAATCAGAAATGAAAGAGGAGAAGTAATAACGGATACCATAGAAATACAAAGGGTAAGAGAATATTATGAATATGAAAAGCTATACACCAACAAACCTACAAAGGGACAACCTAGAAGAAAGGGACAAATTCTTAGAATCACACAACCTTCAAAGACTGAATCATGAAGAAACAGAAAACCTGAATAGACTGATCACGAGTAAGGAGACTGAAACAGTAATCAAAAAGTTTCCCAAAAAACAAAAGTCCAGGACCATCAAAGACTTAATACCTATCCTTCTCAAACTATTCCAAAAAACTGAAGAGGAGGGAACGCTTCCTCACTTTTTTTTTTCTTGGTGGGGGGTACGCGGGCCTCTCACTGTTGTGGCCTCTCCCATCGTTGTGGAGCACAGGCTCCGGACGCACAGGCTCAGCGGCCACAGCTCACGGGCCCAGCCTCTCCACAGCATGTGGGATCTTCCTGGACCAGGACACGAACCCGTGTCCCCTGCATCGGCAGGCAGACTCTCAACCACTGCGCCATCAGGGAAGCCCCCTAACTTATTTTTACAAGGCCAACATCACCGATACCAAAACCATACAAACACAACACAAAAAAAGGAAACTACAGGCTAATATCTCTTGGGAACATAGATGCAAAAATGCTCAACAAAGTATTAACAAATCAATACAATAATACCTTAAAAGGATCATACACCACCATCAAGTGGGATGCAGGGATGGTTCAACATCTGTGAATCAATCAACAAGACACATACTTTAACAACCTGAAGAATAAAAATAGGATCATCTCAGTAGATGTAGAAAAAGCATTTGACAAGATTCAATACCCATTTATGATAGAAACTCTCAATAAAATGGGTAGAGAAGGAATGCACCTCAATATAATAAAAGTCATATATGACAAACCCATAGCTAACATCATACTCAGTGGTGAAAATCTGAAAGCTATCAGGAACAAGACAAGGATGCCCACTCTCACCACTCTTATTCAAAACAGTACTGAAGTCCTAGCCAGATCAATTAGACAAGAAAAAGAAATAAAAGGCATCAAATTGGGAAGGAGAAGCAAAACCATCACGATTTGCAGTTGACATGACTTTATATATAGAAAACCTTAAAGACTCTACCAGGACTTCCCTGGTGGCACAGTGGTTAAGAATCCGCCTGCCAACGCAGGGGACACGGGTTCGAGCCCTGGTCCGGGAAGATCCCACATGTCGTGGAGCAACTAAGCCCATGCGCCACAGCTACTGAGCCTGTGCTCTAGAGCCCACAAGCCATAACTACTGAGCCCCCGTGCTACAACTACTGAAGCCTGTGCGCCTAGAGCCTGTGCTGCACAACAAGAGAAGCCACCGCAATGAGAAGCCCGTGCACCGCAACGAAGAGTAGCTCCCGCTCGCCACAACTAGAGAAAGCCTGCACGCAGCAACGAAGACCCAATGCAGCCAAAAATAAATAAATAAATTTATAAAAAAAAAAAAAAAGACTCTACCAAAACCCACTAGAAATAATAAATGAATACAGTAAAGTTGCAGGGTACAAAAATCTGTTCTCTTTCTATATGCTAACAATCAGCCAGCAGAAAGAAAACTTAAGAAAACTATTTACGATCACAACATAAAGAATAAAATACCTAGGAATAAACTTTAAGGAGGTGAAAGACATATACACTGAAAACTATAAGACACTGTTGAAAGAAACTGAAGAAGACACAAATAAATAGAAAAACATTCCATGTTCATGGATTGAAAGAATTAACATTGTCAAAATGTTCTAAGGCAATCTACAGATTCAATGCAATCCCTATCAAAATCCCAAGGAGGGCTTCCCTCGTGGCGCAGTGGTTGAGAGTGCACCAGCTGATGCAGGGGACACGGGTTCGTGCCCCGGTCCAGGAAGATCCCACATGCCGCGGAGCGGCTAGGTCCATGAGCCATGGTCGCTGAGCCTGCGCGTCCGGAGCCTGTGCTCCGCAACAGGAGAGGCCACAACAGTGAGAGGCCCGCGTACCGCAAAAAAAGAAAAAAAAAACTCCCAAGGACATTTTTCACAAAAACAGAACAAAAAATTCTAAAATTTATAGGAACCACAAAAGACCCCATATAGCCAAAGCAATCCTGAGAAAAAAAGAACAAAACTGGAGGTATCACACTCCCTGATTTCAAACTATATTACAAAATCATAATAAGCAAAACAGCATGGTATTGGCAGAAAAACAGACACACAGATCAATGGAACAGAACTGAGAGCCCAGAAATAAACCCACATGTATATGGACAATTAATTTACAACAAGGAGCAAAAAACATACAATGGAGTAAGAACAGTCTCTTCAATAAACAGTGTTCAGAAAACTTGACAGCCACATGCAAAAAATGAAACTAGATCACTATCTCACACCACACACAAAAATAAACTCAAAATAGATTAAAGACTTGAATGTAACACTTGAAACCATAAAACTCCTAGAAGAAAACACTGGCAGTAAGCTCTATGATACTGTTCTTAATATCTTTCTAGATATGTCTCCTCAAGCACGAGAAACAAAAGCAAAAGCAAAAATAAACAAATGGGACGACATCAAACTAAAAAGCTTCTGCACAACAAAGGAAACCATCAATAAAATAAAAAGACAACCCACCAAATGGAACAAGATATTTGCAAATGATATATCTGATAATGGGTTGATATCCAAAATATAAAAAGAACTTATATAACTCAACCAAAATTTTAAAAACAAAGAGACTGGACTTCCCTGGTGGTGCAGTGGTTAAGAATCCGCCTGTCAATGCAGGGGACATGGATTTGAGCCCTGGTCTGGGGAAGATCCCACATGCCGCAGAGCAACTAAGCCCATGCGCCACAACTACTGAGCCTGTGCTCTAGAGCCCGTGAGCCACAACTACTGAGCCCACGTGCCACAACTAATGAAGCCAGCGCACCTAGAGCCCATGCTCCACAACAAGAGGAGCCACCGCAAGGGAGAGTCGCCCCCGCCTGCCACAACTAGAGAAAGCCCGTGCACAGCAATGAAGACCCAACACAGCCAAAAATAAAAAGATTTAAAAAAAAAAACTACAATGAGATATCACCTCATGCCTATTAGAATGGCTATTATCAAAAAGGCAAGAAATAAGTCTTGGCGAGGATGTGGAGAAAAGGGAACCCTCGTGCACTGTTGGGAATATAAAGTGGTGCAGCCGCTATGGAAAACAGTATGGAGATTCCTCAAAAAAATTAATACTAAAATTACCATTCAATCCAGCAATTCCACTCCTGGGTTATTATACAAAGAAAATGAAAACGCTAATTTGAAAAGATATATGAGGGCCTCCCTGGTGGCGCAGTGGCTGACAGTCCGTCTGCCGATGCAGGGGACACGGGTTCGTGCCCCGGTCC